AAACCGGAGTAAACGAAGATGGTTAAGCGGTCCCGAACTGAGGTATACGGCCAACGGCTCCGAAAAATCAGAAACCGGACTCCAAACGGGCAAAATGGCCTATGACCACAAAACGTAGCCTACGGCCACTGAGAGATGATCTACGAGACCTCTCACTCCTTTCGCGAAGAGAAAACAGAGAAAATGGAGCCTGGTTCGCAAACCGAGGCAAAGCATGAAAGAGTCCGGAAGTCCGGAGGCAAGGCTCGCAGCCGAGACTCTGAAACCTCTGAACGAGCACGATATGCAACATCACCAAGCGCTCAATCGGTGACGTCTAAGTCTTAAGGTCGGTCAAAAATGGGGTGTCTACACACACCGACATTGTGGAACCTGGTCGGCGTAATGTGTCGCCCAAGTTTTGTCGGCGGAACATCGGCAAACTTGTTGGGAAGCTAAAAGGTGTGGACTTGTCAGCGGGCAATTTCGTAAAGATATGAATGATGAATTGGTGGTGGTATGTTGTATACATTTGATTTATTTGTTTGTTTTGATTTGTTTGAGTTGTTGGTTGCAGATTAATTGTGGAAAAATTTCTAGGTCTGTCGTCGAACGTTATTTCATGCAAGTGGTACCGGACGTCTATGTACCTATCAAGCGTGATGAAAAGGTGTTAGATGTTGATCCGGTGAATGTATGGGATGGACGACGTCTTAATATTGGGGGTGAGAATGTGAACGTTGTAGAGCTAGGGGTAAAGTCATATACTGGGACATATCAGTTTGTGATTGTAATTATGGTAATGTAACATTGTGCATGAAATTACGGAGGTATTTTCTAGTGATATGTGCTTATTGTCATCATATATTGGTGTAAGTGCAACGATGGAGTCATTAATAAATGGGTTGTCTTGTTTTGTTACAATGTCGAAAAGAGTCCCTTGTTTGTTCCAGTTGCATGTGTGTTGTAATGATGTGAATTGATGTGAATTGTGTTAAATGTCCATGTTAGTGGGAGGAAAATTTAATTGATGTTGTAGATGCTCAAGATGTTTAATGGAATCCTTCGGAAATGTGTTCTGTTTGAGTAGGGGTTTGTTGTATCGGTGGTGAAAGATTTTGTCGACTTTTGTGTAGGATTTGATTGCAATTGTCCACATAAATGTTAGGATGTGTGACTTCCATGTTAGCAAAAATTAACCAATTTCAATGGAAGCAATGAATCCATTACGTGAGTCTATGCAATGATAGGTATGTTAGAGTTTTTATGGAATGTTGATGACTTACATGTTATTGGCAATGATTTGTTGGAGGTGTACATGTTACTTACTGAAAGTGCATGGTAATGAAGGTGCATTTGTCAGAATCATGTATGTAATGGGTCTTGTATGGGTGGTAGTGTCAAAATCAAACAATAAATAAATAAATAAACAACAACCAACAACAACACCACGATTCCACATCAGTTCCCCCTCATCAAATGGCTAAACATCACTAACCCCACATATCACTCCATGCAATCCTCCACAAAAATTTCAAAAATTAACACCATACCATAACCAACCCACCCAAACATTAGGAAAAAAATAACAACTAAAATCACACTCAAGGGTAAACAATTAAACTCCAGAATATACCATAAATAAAAGGACTAATTGGTTTGAAAGAAAACTTTCAGGACTAAATGGAGCAACATTTTCCTAAATGGGATTTTGGATAATTTTTCCTTAAATTTAATTGCGATATATGCCACGTTTGATTTGAATGCTAATTATGTGTTTTGTAAGAGTTTTGAATCAATATCTATTCATCGTAGGAAAATCAGTTCTGAATCCTGCTAAAATTTGAAATTGAGGGCCGTAAAGGAGACAGAAACTACAAATTGATTACTTTATTGTGATCAGCGTAATTTTTAGAGTCTATTGTGAAATTTAATTAAAAATTGATTCAGATCGAATTAATTAGATTAAATTCAATTAAACTAAGCTCTAATTATTTAATTTAAGTTTTGATTAACTAATCAACCTAATTGAGCCTAATTCACATTAGTACAATTAAATTTAGCTTAATCTAAATTATAGTTTAATGATTTAATTAAGTTTATAAGTAGTGGAATTTAATTATTGCTTATAATTAATTAGAGCTTAGAGGAGATTAGAGATTAATTAAGCTTCCTAAACCTATTCATCAATTTAAGTAGAAAAGAAGAAGCTAGTGGGTTTTGTTGGAGAATATATAACTAGAGAGAGAGTTCTTGAGAGAGAGCTCAAGAAAGAAAGAAAAGAAGAGCAAGAAGAAGAATATGGAAGAAGAAAAGCTTTGATCTCCACAAATTCATCAACTTAAGGTAGGAATTCTCTTCTAATTTCATGAATTTGACTTTGTTATATTGATGAACCAATGGAATCCAAGTTTAATTAAGAAGAATTCAAGTTTAATTGGTGGATTTATGGAAGTAAGTTGAAGCAAAATATATGCATGAACAAGATAAGCAAGAAAGTGTAAGAATTAGTTTAAGAACATGACATGCATGGCATATTTCATGGAAATTTTCTTCATACATTAGAGTTCTTGCATACTTCATGAAAATTGGAGAGAAAACTTCCATGATATTGAAGTTTGAATTCATAGTTTACATGTTTTATAATTTTTCATTTTAATTGAAGTTTTGATCCTTCAATTGACAAATTGAGTTCATAATGTTTTTACATGCATAGCTTCATTCTTGCTCATACAATTGAAATCTTGCTTGGTTCCTCAAATTTGAGGAGAAAATCTCACGGATTTTGATTATGGAACTCAAGATTGTATGGTTTATGATTTTACATGTTAAATTCAAGATTTGACCGTTTGCATGGAAGTTGAGTTTTAATTTGAAGTCATGATTTTTGTTTAAAATTATATATGATGAATTCAAGATGTTTTTGAAAGGTTTTGGGTCATGCCATGCATGAGATTGAAGTTACAGTTACAAAAAAAAATTAGGTTTCAAAAACTTAAACAGATTTTCGGATTTGAGAAGACCTAGAACTGCACGTGCGGCTTGGAGCCGTACGTGCAAAAATAAGAATAGATAGAAGCTTACTTTCTGCTTTAATTGCATGTGTGGTGGTAGTTCTGCACGTGCGGTCAGTGCTCCCACACATGCGGATTTCAGAATAGTCTTGGTTTTGTTTTTGCTCAATTTTTCTACCTTCTGGGCCTCTGCTTGCATGGTTTTAACGTGCTCTTCATTGCATTCGCATCTCATGAACACAAATGAAATAAAGAACAAAAAGCTATAATCAAACGAATTGGCAACAAATAGAAACTGAATAAGTAGAAGTACTGAACTGAATAAAAATGATTGAATGACATGAATGTAATTGAGTTGTGCTCGAATTTGTTTGTTTAGATCGAACACCACAACTTTAGTGCATCTTTAGCACGTGTTTCAAAGAGTTCACTATGAGTAACACTGTTGTAAAGCTATGTTCAATCGTAATTATTTTCTGATTGATTAAATGTATTGTTTTCTAAAGGAATACTGTTTATTGAATGAATGATTGTCCTATTTTCTGAACTGTACTTGTGGCATCCATAGTATATTGCTATTGTTATTGCTATTATTACAGAGATCTCTGTCAATTCCAATTCTTGGAACTATTGTTTATTGTATTGATGGCCATCAATTGATTGTTTGGTCTTTAAGACCTATTGAATTGTTCTGCTATTGGATGTACCACGTATGATCATTATGAATCCTAATGATTGACTGATACGAGATATTGATTGAGAAAATGATTTATTGATGAACCGATTGTTTCAATTGTTGTAAGGACATCATTCATAACTCCTTTACACAGTTGTTATTTACTGGTTTTAGCTCACTGTTTATTACATGTATGTAGGTGAACAAGCACTGGATCAATCTTAGCGGCGTCGACCCGAACCTTGTTTTGTCAAACCAACTACTGTGGCTTACCGCGAGGTTCCGAACCATCACGTGCTATGGTTTTTGATTGTTTCTACCTTGCCCACTTGTGGCTATGATCCTATGTTGTGAAGTTTTTGTTTCAGACTTATGTTTTCATTTTTGTTTGACCATTTTGTTATTGGGGGTTTAATTCTCTCAGTTATGTCTTGGGTTGTATCTATGTTTGGATTTGGACTCATGTGACTGTCTATAAATGCAAGTTTGTTTTGTTCATTTAAGTTCTCACAGCTCTTTGGACATTATATTGTTTTATTTATTGGCTTACGCCAGCCTCCTTTTACTGTAATATTGTCATTACTATTAAGCAGGCCTTTGATAATCATGGATTACTGGCCGGTTACGATGCTAAACTTAAAGAGCGAGTTTGGGTTGTGACAAGTACTAAACAAAAATGCTATGAACCCGCCTTCTTCAACCTATAATTTATCTCAAATATGTTTGTATGGTGGAAATTAAATTGATGAAGTGTGGGATCCATGAGTAAAATCAATTTGAATCATTAATTCCTTTTTCTAAGTAAATTATGGATTCATAAATTTGGTTTTGTAGTGTTGTTGTAATACTAAATTGAGGATACAATCACTTTCAAAAAAAATTTCAACCATACAAAATCACTTTAAGATCATTATAAAAAAAATCACCGTAGAGAATACGAATTCCGAAAATATGGTAATGCTATGGTACATGAGCTCTAATCCTCTGTAGTGGTATCCTATAGTGTTGCAAAACGAATTCGTTTTGGGAGCAAACTTTAAGAAGAAGAAGAAAAAAAGAACCCATTACTGGGTATTTTAATTATAAAATCACATAAGGTATAAAAAAAAATTCCTAAATCATAATTAAAATAATATTATAATCAATATCAATAACTATAATTATAATTAAAAAAAAATACAAACATCACAGTTAAAAATGCATATGATACCAACCATAAAATTATTCCCAAAAAAATATGAAGAAAATAGTGGTATGGAATCCCACCATACTTCGGGTGGAGACCAAGGCTTTAAGTGGGACCCAACGACCCACAGGCAATCCCCACCCATAGCAACAACCCCCAAACGCCTTTAGACAGCAGCAAATGAAACCTTCCTTCGTTTTCACCACTTCCCCTCTCTCTCTCTCTCTCTCTCTCTCATATTTCTTGTCGATCTGGTTTGGTCTCTGTAATTCAAACCTCTGCTCTGCTCCAAACAAGACTAGGATTTGGATTTAGAAGCCTCTCTCTCTGTCTCTCTTTCATCTTCTTTCTCTCTCTAAACTCAAACATGGATCCGCCTACTTCTTGGGACTCCCTTCGAAAACAGGTACACAATTTTATACACGTATATATATATATATATATATATGCATATATCTTATGTGTGGTGAATTTCGATATTTGGATTCATTTCATCGATCAAGTCCCAATTTTTCTTCTCAAATCACTAGCACTCTCCCTATATATATATATATATATAATTATATGGCTTTTGGCTTAATGAATTTCGAATTATTTGCATTGCTTGTTTTGTGATTTGCGGGCGTTATGTAATTTAGAGTTTGGGTTTCGTTAAGGGTCTGAAATTTTTATATTATTCCATTTGTAAGTGATGGAATATTTGGGATTCCGAATTCTATGAATGGAAAATACCATAAAGTCTAGGTTTTTTGTTTTTTTTTCCCCCATCTATTGCACTGAGATCTGTGAATTTGGAATTGCACCTGTGACTGAATGGGTCATTGATTCCATTGAAATGTTTAACAACAGAAGGTCATAGTTGTCGGCAAACCTATTTTGTTGTGTCAAGAGTTATTTAGAGCATCCTTCTGAATAGTGTCCCCTGAATTTCAACCCGTTTGGGAAGAAGGGTTGTAGGTTTTTTTGGCTATTTTAGCCACAAAAGACAAAATAGGCTATTTTAGCCACAATCAACAAAACATCACATCCAACCCATAATCATTATGCTCTTCTCTCACAAAAAAAAAATCAAAAAAGCCAAAAAGCCATTCCCAAATCAAGCTTTTTAGTCCAGGCTAAAATAGCCAAAAAAACAAAAAAGCCAAAAAGTCAACCCACTTCCCAAATCATAAAAAAAAAATAGTGTCACCTGAATTTCTCTGGAAGGAACAAAAATTGCCAAGACATGAATGTTTCTTTTGAGAAAAATGTTGAGTTCCTCAATAGCCAAGGTTGTTAAAATCGGGATCCTAAGTAGGATCGGTGAGAGGGTCTGGTGGATCGGATCGTAGGATCGGATCGAGGATCGTAAGATCCTACTTCCTATTAAAAAAAAGGATAAAAATTAAAATTAAAATGATACATATTAAAAATAAGGTGAAAAATCATAAAATCTACGATCCTACTTGCTATCCTACCTACGATCCCATACAATCCTACACGATCCTACTTGCGATCCTATTATAACATCGATCCTACAACGATTTGGATCGTTTTGGCAAAGTAGGATCGTACGATCCTACGATCCGGATCGCGATTTTAACAACCATGTCAATAGCCTTGTTTTGAATGGTTATGCAAATGGTATGGTAGAGATAGTTTGGAAACTAGGGCAGGTGTAGTAGTTATTGTGTTTTGGGATGAAAGGGAACATAAAGGAAACTTGTGACGTATGGCATTTCTCTTCAATTAAATGTTGTGGAGCAATCATACTCTTCATGGAAAACCCTCATGAATGATGCCATGAATCTGATGTTGATTATCTCCTCTCTTTTCATTTTAAATCCAAGTGATCATCATCACTTTATCCTTTTGCTTTAATATTGCTATTGCTATATCAAATTCATGGTTATGAAGATGAGTTTTCTTCTGTTTAACTGTTTTTGAAGAATGGCATTATCTGGCATCATGTAGGCAAGGAAGCTTGAAGCACAGTTGGATGAACAGATGCATTTGTATCGTAAATTAGTTTCCACAAAAACTGATGATGGGACCGATAAAGATCTTGAATTGGGGATTGATCAACTACTCCAACACCTTCAGCAAGTGAATTCACATATGCAAGCTTGGGTGTCATCAGGAGGCTCAGAAATATTTTCTCATACATTGACTCGGCATCAAGAAATTCTTCAAGACCTTACTCAGGTATTGTTACTTTTAAATGCTTAAGAAAACATTATTAGAGTCTTAATAAACAATACAATTTTGGTTGTATGTATATTTGGAGTGCAATACATATGTGTGTGTGCAAGTGTGTTTATGGTTATATACAATAAGGATTCATAAATGCAAGCACCACCAAGTACAAAATCCTTACTACCTCAAATTATAATACTTCTACATAGAAAATTAATCAATAAATTAGCTTAATGATTTGATGACAATCATCTAAGTAGCACGACATGACACCAACATGCCGACACGTCAATTTTCAAAAAATGCAAGACATGAGACCCTTAGGACATGTTAAAATTTTATACTTTTATAATTTTTTTATGTCATATATATGAATAATTTATACAAAGATAATTAAAAAATGCAACACAACACATTTTCTTCATTAAAAAACTATATATTTCATCAATTCAACATTAAGATATCATTTATATAGCAATTACATTCTAAACAGTGCAAAACAATTATATAATATTGTATTGCACATAATGTATTCATCTTATAGATGTTTCAAAACATATTTAGGTTGCATAAGTTGTGTTATGAAGAATGAAGAATATTATTATAATGAAGAGATTCATTATATAGGACGTATTTGGAGAGTTCAAGAAATGTCATCAAAGTATCCGTGAAGTGTTGCTAAAGTGTCCTATGTTGCGTTTTTTTTTTCTTCTCAAGACACGTTGAAAGAAGTGTCAAATGCGATTTTAGGAGTATCCAAAGAGTGTTGTGTCAGACAATCATATTAAAGGAAAATTTCCTCTTGAGTTCATTTTATATGAGACTGTTGGACAACCTTCTGGTTTATTGCCGACTGACTTACAGTTTAAAGGATGACCCTGAGCTAATTTAATTAAGTGACTATTCTATGGTGATGTTGAATACACCACCTCATAGATGGTAAATAGGTCTTTCTTTTCTTTGGAATGACATCAAGCATGAGGAGACGATGCTGCCACTACCACCCTTCACAAATTAATTTGAAGGCTATGAAGCAATACTTTGCCAAACTATAGCCTTTTGTTAAAGAATTGACTACCCTGAAAGCATAAGCTATTAGAGAACAATGTACATCAATGTTTTTCTCATGGTCCATTGAAGTTTCCTAGAGCTGTGGAATGATTTCATTGCCCTGTAGTACGAAAAGGTTTGGTTCACCTTCTATTCCAACCTTTTATCTTGTAATTTAATCCTGAGACGGGGGGTTTTTAGGAGGACTAGATCACATACTAAAATTGTATGGTGCATCCACTTTACTATGGCGTTGTTTGGCAAACGGAAATCCAGGCTATTGTAGCCTCTTGAGAAAAAAAATCCAAAAAGCAGTATTGTTGCTCATCACTTCCCACGTGATGCACAGGTGTAATGGACAGAGTGTAAAATGACTCTTTTGCCCTTTTAATTGTGAAAAATTCATGACAGCAGCAACAATACACACGGGCATTTTGGTCATTTACTATCCCACATCATTTCGAAGCTGTAATGGACAGACTGTAAAATGACGCTTTTGCCCTTTTAATTTTTGAGAAACCCACGACATCAGCAACAATACACCTAGGGGCATTTTGGTCATTTACTATCCCACATCATTTCAAACACATTTTTCAATACATCAATCAAACAAAAAATTCAACTCATCTTCCCAAACACAAAAACTAAAATAGCCTACTAAAATAACCAAATAGCCAAAAGCCAAAAAAAGTAGCCACTTCCCAAACGAGGCCTATAGCTAAGTGCATAAAACATAGGGGATTAGAATGGATCATTTCCTTTAGGAGAACCTTCTGTTTACCCATAGGTAAATTGTCTGGTTATTTAAGATTCTAGTGAACTGAGAGAGTTTTTCAGAAACCTGATGACTTGGATATATCAGATATGGGGTTTAATGTAATTAGATGAATATGGATTCTTATCTAAATTGATAATTTTTTAAAACATTCAAGCTATGTAAATATGCTCTTCTTCGTTTGGAATTGTAGTACTTATTCCCAGGAAAATGCCTAAATTGCTTTGGAATATTGATTTCTTCATCATGAAGTTCTTTATGTCATGCTTTTGTGGTAACAGCATGATGATGGTAGCATGTGATCTAGCAATTCTACCAATAATGTCAATTGGCCAAGAAGATTTTGCATGATGATACTTATGCTGTGCTTAACATGATTTAATTGCAGGAATTTAATCGGCTCCGCTCTAGTCTTCGAGCTAAGAAAGAGCATGCTTCGCTTCTTGAGGATTTTAGGGAGTTCGATAGGACAAGATTGGATCTGGAAGAAAGTGGGGGATCTTATGATCAGGCTCTCCTTAAGGAGCATGCATCCGTCAACAGAAGTACAGGGCAGGTACCTTGAAGCAAGTTGTATTTGATTTTTACTACTCAAGAAATTCCTGTTCTTCTTTAGCTAGATATATGGATGTCTCTTAAATAGACTAACAGAATAGAGTGTTTAAGATTTCACTCCATGGCTAAGTTGGCCAATTGGCTTAACACTAACAGACTGTATTGCTGGACCTTTTTTTTTTTTTTTTCCTCAACTGTACGTGACCTAACTTCATCATTACGGTTCTTTTGCTTGTATATGCCATGCTATCCTATCCTGCTTTATTTTATGGCCTTCAATTTTTATTTTATTTTTAAATTTTTTTTGGGGGGGTCATTGATTTATTTCCTAACCTATTGTATTGAGTAGGCTATTGCAAACTCCATTCTTCTCTGGAGTTGAACTTGTACCATTATCCCTTTTTGTTGCAGCAGTAGATAGCACTTTTATAAATTTATTTGTAAGTAAAATTGTATTAGAGAAAGTGCAGAAAGGGAAGTACCCTAATACAAGAGGAGAAGAAAAGAAAAGAAAAAAAAAATAGGAAACAAAAAACTAACTAAAGCTATAACTAAAACTACCATACGAACCTTGCTCATGCCTACTTGCCAACAGATAATCCAAAACTAGGCCTCTGTTTTTATTCGATAGATTTTATCATCTTCAAACCATCATCCTCAAATTCATCGCAAGGAAACTCGACAATATGGCTCACGCATCTAACTTTCTTCAATACCCACTCCAACACTTCTTCCTCCATCACTATTAAAAGCATAGTTGTACGTTCCCCCACCCCTTCACCCGAAATTTGCCTTATTGCTACCTTTTTCCTTCCTAGGACCTAATGACAATACCACAGACCCGCCATCTTCATCACACGTGCCTTCTTACCCACCATGGCCCTTCAACTGCTTTGGGTTTTGGGTTCTCATTTTGAAAGAATTCCATTAGGTGGAGTTGCAAATATGCCCCCTCTCCCATTCTCAGTAGTACCATGACCTGGCTCCTCCACTTGTGTAATAACCATAGGCAGCTTTCTCACACCAACACTCTCCCAACTTTGCAATTGTCTTCACTGCTACCATCTAAAACATCAGAGGCCCTCCCATTACAACCTCTAGGCCTAGATGAGATTGTTCCAAAACAACCGCCACCTATAGCTAAGTTATTACACGTTGATCAACGAACTTCATCGATGCGGCTATCCTTGGGAAGAAAATCCATAATCACTTTCTCAACTTCCTTTTCTTTCATGAAAATCCATAATCACTTTCTCAACTTCCTTTTCTTTCATGAAATGGTTCTGTACCCTTTGTTTTTCTCGACCTTTGCTTGCATCTTGGTTTCACATGACAACCGAAATGTGAATCTACCTAAGTTGCTAGTGGAGTTGGGCCTCTCTTCATTGATTCTAGGCTTTCATCCTTTTGGTGATAAGTTTGAGCTAGTCTTTGTCCACCCCCAAAACCACATGGCTTTGGGCCTACTAGATGAATTAGGAGCCTACCTATCAACCTCATTTCTCTTGAGAAAAAGACCTCGCCCAACTTGTTTTATTTTCTCCTTGGGCTAGGGATCTATTACCATGTGAAGCAACCGATTGGGCTCCCACTTTTGCCCCTGCTATATTCTGCAATTCCCCTTATTATCATGTGATGTATATGGTTCCAAAGCCCTCCTCCTACATGATGCCTCCTGCCTCCATAACCGACTATTAACCCTCTTAATAATACGAGAACCCATTCAAGAAAATTTTTCCCCCTTCATGCATGTTATAGCAGCAGGAAACTCCTACTTAGGTGATATTTCTTACTAAGAAACGCATTTTTGCGCTCTCAAGTAAGAAACTTGTAAGAAAATTGCTCCCGTCGAGGAAAAAACTTGCTCCCAATGGAGTTAGAAACTCTTAGACATACAAATATCAAAGAAATAAAAGAAAAACAACCTAAACTTATTATATTACTTTCTATTTACATAATATTTATTTGTACTGCATAAAGACAGTTTGTAGTTGACATCAATCTAAAATATTTGTTCATATTTTAACACTTTTTTTAGAACTAAGCAGAAAAAATAATTGTTAGAATATATTTGTATATATAATATATACATGCTCCCATAGGTGCTTCCAACCTTAGAAACTTCTAGAGGCCCTTGCTTTCGTTTGTGCAACTAAGGTCTGGTTCAACAAAAGGTTAAAGTTTGTGTTGCATTCTCCTCCTACTCCTACCATGCACATGGTGATCCTCATCTCTAAGAGCACCACAAGCCTCTCTTGCAGGGAACCCCCTAGCCTAACAATTTTTTTTGGCAATGATCTTTGTTGACCTTGCCACGCCACAAACCTTGCGTAACAGTTTTTGGAAAGTGAGACTTGGACCCTTTTCAACCCAAATAGGTGTCTCGTACCTCCGTCCACCCTAACCAACTCTTTGCCATGGTTGATCCTTCTTCCTTCGGCCACCACTCAATCAAAACCTTGCAACACTCTGACCAAACCCACCCAACCATCATTGTATACTAATTTTGGAAAAAAAAAGGAAAAAATATTGCTCCTCCCCAATGACAATGCCAATGCCAAAAGTTGATCACATCCCCTATTTGTAAGGCTATGGCACTCCAACATTCAAATCCCTCCTTTGACTACCAAAATGCCACCTGTGTTACCTTTGCAACACCTCCCTCAATTTGCCACTCAACCACCAAACTTCAAATCCAAACAATGAAAGAGCTTGCTGCAAACCTTTTATCCATTCCACCATCACCACACAACTCCTCCCATTGGTTTCGTTTATGAAAATAAAGGTCTTTGTAACTTGTTGTATGATCTTTCTCCTTAGGGCTTTTCAATATAGTTGTCAAATTGGGATTCGTATCGTGAATCGAAATAGCCTTGTACCAAATCGCGAATCGAATTGTGAATCATAAAGATTCGGTCACTTTTTTTAAATTACTTAAAAACATATATCGACATATTTAGATGTTAAATATATCTAATAAATATGAAATATTTAGATTTACATAGTTTAATAGGTAAGAAGTTAACAAAGATTCCTATGTAAGATCACTATCTTACCTTTTTTCTTTTTTAGATTTCTTATCAACCATTCTTAATAAAGATAATAACCAAATAGACAAACTGTCAATTTCTAAAGTAACAATAATTAACAACGATATTGATATTTGGACAGTAAGGATACATACTTTCTAAGTAACAGTGAACAAATAATAAGAAATAATTATTTAGAATCTTTTATTTTAAAGCTTAAAACATTTTAAAGGGTATAACTGATTTCACATATGTAATATTCAATTTAATAAAATAGCAATAGATAATCCATAGTGTAACTTTAATCTTAAACATCTTTAGAAGATATATTATGATTTTTAAAGGGAAATTTAGCTATAAACCCCTTTTACCTTCCTTTCATTGTTAAAGGACTAAGAAAAAAATTATACTTTCTAAACCCCCTCATAATTATAAAATCTTACATAAAGGACAATTTATTATTTAAATATTTTATCAGACTATTATACCCCTCAACTAAATCTTTCCACCTTCTTCGTCCTCTCTCTCTCTGTCTCTCTCTCAATTTTCGCACAATCATTGCAGAGACTTTCTTCCATGAAACCCTAAATTTTCGATTTCACAACTCTGCTCAGAAACCACAAATGAATAGCTATTGAATCGTCTCTACAATATCCAGGTACAATCGATTCAATACCTATCTGGTTATGTTAAATTCACAAATCATTCGAATCTCTTCACATTTCGTGATTTTTGTTGATGTTTCTACATAAATTTATCGACTCTCATCTTTAATTTTGTTGCAATTGAATGAGGATGTCGTTGGAGATTCGAAAGCTAGGGTTTCGGAGCAGATGGGGGAGATTCGGAGTGCGGTGGAGATTGCTCAATTGGAAGCGGAGAAGAAACATGATGAGGTTGTTGATGAGATGCTGGCGATGTTGAATGCGAAGGCTGAAGCTTCGAGATTGAAAGAAGTTGAACAGGAGGTTGGGAAGGATGTGGATGAGGAACAGTAGATATGTATATATATATATATATATATTTGTGTGTATGAGTGTTGTTGAACACATGTATTCTTTTCATTGAGATTTGTGATTGTTGATCGAGTTTTAGAAGTTTTTCTTCTCAATTAGATATGTTGATTTGTTGATTAATTTGTTTTGTTTTTGTTTGTTTGTTTGTTTTTTATTTATTTTTGTTGTTTTTTATCGAATTTCATTTGACAGAACCAGAGTAAAATTTTACTCTGGTTCTATTGCTCTGTTTTTTTGCATTTGACAAAACCAGAGTAAAATTTTACTTTTATACAGAGTAAAATTTTACTTTTATACAGAGTAAAATTTTACTTTTGTGTAGAGTCTAACATTTTTCTCATTTTTCAGAGTAAAATTTTACTTTTATACAGAGTAAAATTTTACTTTTGTGTAGAGTCTTAACATTTTACAAGTTTTTCAGAGTAAAATTTTACTTTTATACAGAGTAAAATTTTACTTTTAGTTTCAGAGTGTAACATTTTACTCTTATTCAGAGTAAAATTTTACTTTCATACAGAGTAAAATTTTACTCTGAAATATATAGTGAAGATGACTTAATAGGAGAGTTGATAGATATGAGGGTAATATAGTAAAAGAAACAAGTTTTAAAATATTAGGGGGTTTTGAAAGTACTTATATAATTCTTGTCTTAGTGAGGGGGCTATCACCAAATCCCCATTTTTTAAAGGAAAAAAAAATGAGAAGAAAGGTTAAAAATATGTTGGGTCTAACTAAATCTGATTAAATCCTATTAAAAACTCCATTATCACTAAAATAACAACAAATCATGTATATATATTGGTTATTTTGGTATTAAACACTATTAGAAGTTGGATTATGTCATTTTTACCAAAAAAATGGAGGAAAAAAAATAGTCAAAAATATGCCGGACACAATAATGTCAAAAATTGCATGAATCGTAAAAAGTGAATTGAATCATGAATCGATTGTGAATC